CGCACGCTCTGGTTAGTGTACTATGTGACTTCATATACACTGCTATGCATGCACTAATCCCTTACCCATACACTTGCTTACCCGCGCACTCTGCTTAGTGTGCTGTGTGACTTGCCTGTAGCTGCGGGGGATGTGGTTGAGTCTGAACTGCCCATATCTCTGCGGCAGTCGCTATTGTACCAGACTATGTACGATGACAGGGCCGCTAACTTGTGCCGAACTTTACTTCGCACCGTGTGCACCGGACAGTCTCAGCTAAGGTGAGTGGCCGTCTGTAGGGGCGTTGTTGTGAATGTATAAGGATCCATGTTAGTTTTTAAGTGTATGTCAGTATGTATGGTAGTTTTGAGTATATGTCAGTATTGGGTGCAAAACCACGTACTCGCGAGCAAACACGAACGCACGGCGAAAGGCAAGGGGTCACTTACATGGAACAGCAATCACACACACAACTACAACTTGCACCACACAATGTATGATAATTTTTAAGTGTATGTCAGTATGTGTGGTAGTTTTAAGTATATGTCAGTATGGATGGTAGTTCTAAGTATATGTTAGTATGTACTGTAGTTTTGAGTATATGTCAGTATGTATGGTAGTTTTCAGTATATGTCAGTATGTATGGTAGTTTAATGTGTATGTCAGTATGTATGGTAGTTTTAAGTATATGTCAGTATGTATAGTAATTTTAAGTATATGTCAGTATGTATTGTAGTTTCAAGTATATATCCAGTATGTATTGTAGTGTTTATTTATCTGTCAGTATGTATGGTAATTTTAATTATATTTCAGTATGTGTGGTAGTTTTGAGCGTATGTCAGTATATGTCTGGCAGTTGCTAGTATATGTCACTAGAGATGGGGTTGTATACTATTAAGCCATACACATATATAGAGTGTCCTTTGCTCTTGCATGCATGTCCCATCTCTCGCCCATATCTCACACACACCTTTAAAACCCTGAAACCCCTAAACACCCTAAAAACCACATTTACACCAAAAACCCTAAATCGCTAATCTAAAAACCCCTCTATCCACATTTTCCTTGCATGGCACACGTGTACACTCTTGTTTATTAATCATCTGACCTCCGTGGCTACTGATCGCGTCTGTTGGCAGAGCTCTCTACACTCTGCGGAGGTTAGAAGAGGCTGTGGAGTTGGAGAGGTTGATAGTGCGCACCTTCAAACTGCTCAATCTGCTGCTGCAAGCCGCACTCAGTGCCTCAGGTGCGTATGGCCCAACTGTGTGATGAGTGTTATGTGTTAATGTGTATAGTAACTGTGTGATGAGTGTTATGTGTTCATGTGTATAGTAATTGTGACATGAGCGTTATGTGTTCATGTGTATAGTAGCTGTGTGATGAGTGTCATGTGTTTTATGTGTATAGTAACTGTGTGATGAGTGTCATGTGTTTATGTGTATAGTAATTGTGTGATGAGTGTCATGTGTTCATGTGTATAGTAACTGTGTGATGAGTGTCATGTGTTCATGTGTATAGTAACTGTGTGATGAGTGTCATGTGTTCATGTGTATAGTAACTGTGTGATGAGTGTCATGTGTTCATGTGTATAGTAACTGTGTGATGAGTGTCATGTGTTCATGCGTATAGTAACTGTGTGATGAGTGTCATGTGCTCATGTGTATAGTAACTGTATGACTCATATACTTTCGCTCTTTACACGCACAAGCCTGTCACACACACACACACACATATCTTTAAACACACACGCACACAGATGGCAATACACCGCTGCCTCCGATGGTGACGGTGATGTTGAGGGATGGGGGCGTGTGTGGTCATGACAGTGGGGCGGATGTCCCTCTGGTTAAGGCTATAGCTGAGTACATTGACCATCGCTCAGAGAGCACTGAATTGGGCAAGATGCCTGTCCTGGCTGTGGATTTGCTGTCCAAATTGTGTGACCTGGGTGCAGTAAAGGGGGCGCCGAGGTAAGTTTGTGCGCACATCAGTAGGTATATGTCTTTATGTGTGAGCACATCAGTGGGTATATGTCTTTGTGTGTGAGCACATCAGTAGGTATATGTCTTTGTGTGAGAGCACATCAGTAGGTATATGTCTTTGTGTGAGAGCACATCAGTAGGTATATGTGTCTGTGGGTGGTTGCATTTGTAGGTATATGTCTCTGGGTATATATGCACTGCGAGAATATGTATGTATGTGTTGTCGTAGTCGCCCGTGTGTGTGGGTATGGGCAGATTAAACCTTGACATTGACGTTGTGGTGGTGGGCTGTTGCAGCGTAGACTGCTCACGGTGTGAGTGACGAGTGAGCAAGCTATCTGTCGCAGTCCCATTTGTATCCCCATGTGCATGTGTTTGTAAGTTAGTACTGACTGTTGCATTGGGTGTGTGTGCATGTGTTTGTAAGTCAGTACCGGTTGTTTCATTGGGTGTGTGTGCCTGTGTTTGTAAGTTAGTACTGATTGTTTCATTGGGTGTGTGTGCCTGTGTTTGTAAGTATGTACTGATTGTTGCATTGGGTGTGTGTGCATGTGTTTGTAAGTAAGTACTGACTGTTGCATTGGGTGTGTGTGCATGTGTTTGTAAGTCAGTACTGATTGTTTCATTGGGTGTGTGTGCCTGGTTTGTAAGTTAGTACTGATTGCTGCATTGGGTGTGTGTGCATGTGTTTGTAAGTCAGTACTGGTTGTTTCATTGGGTGTGTGTGCATGTGTTTGTAAGTTAGTACTGATTGTTT